GCTCTGCCCCACAGGATCACTCAGGGCCCAGGCTCCTTCCATCATGCTTGGCCACCATCTCCTTGGGGTGTCCTCTGCATGGTTCAGGCTGGGCTGCAGCCACATCCTGGCTCCTGCTCACAGGAAGGGGACAGAAAGCATGGAATGGGAGGCCCTGGTTAGGGAAAAGCACCTCTCACTTCCCATCCGATGCCACTGGGGGACTCAGTCACATGGATAAGCTTAACTGCAAAGGAAGCTGGGAGATATAATACAGCAATTCAGCCACCTGCCCTGCAAAGGAGGCTGGGAAATGCAGTGCAGCAGGTCAGCTCCCTGCCTACCATTGTTCTATTACTACGGAAGAAGGGAACATAGATTTTTGTCGGACAATAAACAGTTTGTGCCATAGAGGTCAATAAAGAGCTTAGGCATTGTGTACCCTATATCTATTTTTTCACAGTTGCTCTTAACATTTCTTTTTTAAAAAAATATATTTTATTGATTTTTTTTACAGAGAGGAAGGGAGAGGGATAGAGAGTTAGAAACATCGATGAGAGAGAAACATCATCAGCTGCCCCCTGCACACCCCCTACTGGGGATGTGCCCGCAACCCAGGTACATGCCCTTGACCGAAATCGAACCTGGGACCCTTCAGTCCGCAGGCCGACACTCTATCCACTTAGCCAAACCGGTTAGGGCTTAACATTTCTTAACAATACATTTTTTGAATAAGTAACATATGAACAAGATACCGAATTCTAAAGATGTAAAAAACAGAGACTAAAAAACAAGTTTCCCTTCCCCTGCCCCCCAGTTGCCCCCTGCCTCTCCCTAGAGTAACCATTAGTTTCCCTATATCCTGCAGAAATATCTGAACACATTTATCCTTTCTCTTAAAATGCTAATGATATAATAGTGACAACTCCAGGGAAATTCTCCAGAGCATGGTTGTCACAGTGAAAGATGGGACAGACACAAAGGACAAACATTGTATGATCCCACGGGTAGGGAACATCTTGAGCGATCAAATTCACAGAGACAGAAAGATGGTGGCTGCCAGGAGTTGGGGAAGGAGGACAGGGCGGGGGGGGGGGGAGGGGTTGGTACTTACTGGGTACAGAGTTCAGTTGGGAAAGATGAAGAAGTTCTGGAGATGGATGCTGGTGATGGTGTACAATAGTGTGAATGCACCTAACGCCGTAGAGCTGCCACTTTAAAGTGGCTAAAATGGTAAGTTTCACATTATGTATATTTTACCACAATAAGAAAGACTGAAAATAGGCTAAAAGTTGACTCACAGGGCACAGTAGAATATACAATGCATTCATTCAAGGTTTCTATTAGGAAAAATGAGGTGCTCTCTGTGCACTGATGTGGGAAGATCTCCACAATATTTTATTTATTTATTTTCTAAAAAAAAAAAAATATATATATATAATTTCATTAATTTCAGAGAGGAAGGGAGAGGGAGAGAGAATCATTGACCAGCTACCTCCTGCACATCCCCCGCTGGGGATCGAGCCAGCAAACCAGGCATGTACCCTGACCAGGAATCCTGGTTCATAGGTCGATGCTCATCCACTGAGCCACGCCAGCCGGGCTCCACAGTATTTTAGATGCCCGAGGGCGGAACGGTGTGCACGGGCGTGCTAGCGTTAGGATCAGGGGGATGTGGGGATGAAGAGCGGGGCCTCTGGAACCACACAGCTTGGGTTCAGATCTCAGTGCTTCTGCGGGAAAGTGCTCAGCAAAATAGGAAGCGTGGACTGACCTATCCTGTGAGACTTACACGGCCCATATCGGTGCCACTGGCCAGCTGGGCCTCGTGTGTGGTGGTGTCACTTCGGGGGAGGGAGGAAGGGACAGGCCTGTGAGCTCTGGGTTCCTGGCCTTGCCTGCTGACAGCCCTGCTGGACTTCTGCCTTTGCCGCTAAGCCAGCACCTGCCTGACTCTCCATCGCTGCTCCTGGGTGGAGGTAAAGGACAGTCCTTGAACCTGAGGGACACGGATGTCGCCATGGGTTACCAGTGCTGCTTGGCGGGACTTCGGCGGGAGGAGCATTAGCTGCCGGGCTGCCAGGAGGCTCTGCGTCCTCAGGATGATGTCAGCCAGTTCTCTTCCTCCTCTCATGCCTCGGCCTGGCAGTCACGCTGGCCAGACCAGACGTCATCTCCTCCAGGGCCCTGGAGAGAGGGAGGACGCGAGTCTGGAGGCCAGGCGGCCTGGGTGCCCATGTCCATCCAGCCACCAGGGGCCCGGGGCTGCGTTACTTAGTCTCTGAGATGAGTTACGTTGTCTGAAAAGAACCTACCCACCTCACAGGCATGTTGCAGGCATAAGACAATAGACGTGAAGTTACTTTAAAATTAATTAAGTCATTAAACATGTTGCTCATTTGAATGACCGTCCCTCTGTTTTAGGCATTTATGGAGCATGTCCTATGGGCATGCAGTTTAGATATGCGTATCTTATTTAAACCTCTGTGTCAGTCAGAGTAAGCCAAGTGCTGTAACACACAGGCCCCAGAGTTCAGGGGCTTATACAGTACGGTCCATTTCTCACTCATGTCAGAGTCCAGTGCAGCTCAGGGACTTGGCACATGACATTGTCCAGAGACCCAGCTCCTTCCCCTTCATGGTTTTACCGTCTTCCAGGGCCTCATCGTCCTCCCCTGGATTCTCTGTGGGAGGCTTTGGGGCCAGGCCTGGATGTGGCAAACATCACAGGCCATCAGCCAGCACCAGGTCACGTGGGTGGTCCCCCCCCCCCCCCCCCCCCAACGGTGGGGGAAGCTGGGCTGTGTAGGCTTAGCTGTCTGCCTGAAGGGAAACTCAAACTGCCCAGGAGCATCCAGCCTCCGCTCCACCTTCACAACAGCCCATTTCGCTGATGGAGAAACTGAGGCATGAAGGCGATGTAATGAGCCCAGGAAGTGATTTGAACACAGGCCTGCCTGATTCTAACACTGGCTCTTTACACTGTCCTCTGATGTCTTAGGCCAGTGTTTTCTGCCCAGGGTCTTCCTCAGAATCATGGGGAATTTTTTTCAAAGAACTGTACGAAGGAATTTTGAGGTTTTTTTAAAAAAATAAAATTTTAATTTTAGAATAGCTTTAGATTTTCTGTGTGGCCGGCACTGTGGGAGATGCCGGACGGTGCTGAAAGGCTCACCTAAAATGGCCCTGGGACTTGGGGGTGCACTTCAGGAAGGCAAAGGAGGGTCAGCCTTTTATCTTGTTTTTTTTTTCATCTCTGCTGTATGCTCTCACCTCCTTTGGCTGACACTGATTCTGCATTTGGTTTTTCTCTCTTCAGTCCCTTCTGTTCCGCAATTATTATTTTTCAAAACTCTACTGCCTCCAATCTTCCTGGAATAGCAGACAATCAAATATGTTTGAAATGTATCTAAAATAAGAGTAATTAGGCTGTGAATTAAGGCTTGAGGACTCTGCTGTGAGTATAATGCATAAGCTTTAATATATCAATTTTATAACTTCTATTTTTGCTACCCAGTAGCCTTCTGCAACTTAATTTATGTTCCAGGCAACAACACTGCCATGTAAAGGAAGCATAAGTGAACTGTTCTGTTACAAAACTAACCACCACTCCTGGCCGCATCTTACCTCTCACCTCCTACCCTTTTTGCTCCATTAAAAGTGCACTGGCCCTTGGTTTGCCACAATGTAAATGTTTATTTACCGGGTTTGCTTGCTTCTAACAGGCCCATTTTATCACATTTTAACATCTCTTAAATGGGATGAGTCTTTTTATTGATGGTGGTCTTGGCATTATGTCATTGTTTTCTTACTTAGCGGCACATAATAATGTCTTCGGATTAACGATGTCTTAGATTCAATGAAAGGCAGTATTTATATCATTTGAAGGAATTGACAGATTGTTCTGTTTCTCCAGCCTGTGCCTCATGCTGGTGCTGGAGAGAGACAACTTTTCCACTCATTTGAAAGCAACTTTCTTCTCCTTACCACCTCCTTATAATAACAACAATAGGAATAATAATACCTACAACAGCCAGCAGTTAAAGGGCACTTACTATGTGCCCAGTGCTGCTCCAAGAACTTGGCATAGATTTTTTTCAACAATGTTAGAGGCACAGCTATTATTCCCATTTTACAGAAGAGGAAATTGGGGCTCAGAGGTGGAAGTGGCAAAGCGGGGAATCCCGGCAGCCTGCCTCGCTCTGAAAAAGTCATGTGAGGCTGCCTCTACCGATTCTGGGAGGCAGTTGAAGGATCTTCATTAAATCAGGCTTTTTACCTGACCCTACTAGGAAGCTTTAGAAAAACGCTGGGAGAATTCTTAAAGCAACCTTACAGCAGCCAGGGTTGAGAACCCTTCGTTTAAATCAGCGGTTCTCAACCTGTGGGTCGCGACCCCTTTGGCGGTCAAACGGCCCTTTCACAGGGGTCGCCTAAGACCATCCTGCATATCAGATATTTACATGACGATTCATAACAGTAGCAACATGACAGTTATGAAGTAGCAACGAAAATAATTGTATGGTTGGGTCACAACATGAGGAACTGTATTTAAGGGGCCAGAAGGTTGAGAACCACTGGTTTAAATGATCTGTGTGAGATCCCCTCGCCCTGCTGTTCTGGGGCCCTGACGCCATACCCTCAGAGTAGCTGCCAGACCTGGGGGGACCAGTACAGCCCGAGCCTCTTAAGCCCTTTGCAGCTAGATGTCTTGGTTAGAAATGTGACTTTGAGACCTTAGAGCAGTGGTTCTCAACCTTCTGGCCTTTTAAATACAGTTCCTCATGTTGTGACCCAACCATAAAATTATTTTCGTTGCTACTTCATAACTGTAATGTTGCTACTGTTATGAATCGTAATGTAAATATCTGATATGCAGGATGGTCTTAGGCGACCCCTGTGAAAGGGTCGTTCGACCGCCAAAGGGGTCGCGACCCACAGGTTGAGAACCGCTGCCTTAAAGGGACATGTGCTTTAATTTTTTCTCCTCCCTCCCTCCCCCCTCTCTTCCTTCCTTCCAGCTCTGGAGTGCACAGAAAATCAAGCAGGTAATCCAATTTTGGCTTCTTTTCCTCCCCTCCCCTCTCCTGGACCCTGCCCCCACTGTCCCAGGATCCTTCTGTTGTGGGCCTATCTTCTCCCCTCCCCCTTGTTCCCCGCCTTTTCCCAAAGCAAGTACCCAGGGCTGCTCACCTTCCCCTGGGCCCCTACGCTCCTTCCCTGTGATGCCTTCCCCACAGTCCTCATTACAGGCCTACTGTGTGCCAGGCACAGGGGTTCAGGGCGCCTGAGAGGTAGACCCAGTCCTGCCCTCCCTGTGTTCAGCTTGGAGCATTAGTCAGAGGATACGTGCTGTTGGGGCGGTGTGTTAGCTTCCTCTTGCCCCAGTGGTGGGAAAGGACTGCCCGGCCAGAAGGCAGGACACAGCCACTGGCCCTCGGAGTCATCCTGGAGGGAGGGGGGGCTCTCCTTTCCCGCCTCCTTCCCTTCCTCTCCCTGTGCCCCCTCCCTCTCCCACCGTCACCTGTGCTCTGTTCCTTGCTCTTGCCAGGCTATTCTACACCCGGACACCAATGAGAAGATCTTCATGCCCTTTAGAATGTCAGGTGAGCCCGGGACCTCTGCTTCTGCCCAGCCAGGGCCACTTACCGTGTCACAGCTCCAGCACCCGCTAGATGTGCCGGCCTGGGGCGGGGAGGGAGCCTGTGACACGCACATGGCCACACTGGCACCTGCATGTTCACATGGACTCAACTGGGTAAGACTCACGCCAGGCCTCAGAATCACCTGTGGAGCTCTTTAAAAATGTGCCTTTTCTAAAAACAAAACAAAACAAAACAAGTGCCTTTTCTGCCTGGGCAGCGGGGGTGGAGTGGGGCCTCCACAGGTTACTCCCAGGTTGTTGGCAGCCTCCGGGGTAACACCTGCTACGGGCGGGCGAACCTGCCTCTGAGGAGCCTCTCCTCCCACCTGTGACGGGCTCTCTCCCTCCAGGTCCTGCTCCCTGCTCTGCCCTTCCAGGCAGTTAATCCCCAGGCTAACTCGCTGGTTTCTGAACCTGCTATTAACCTGCCCTTCAGAAAGTCCGCACTATATGTGCCCCGCTGCGCGCACAGCGACGGCAAATTCCATTCTGTGCAGACCAGTGGGCAGGGGCTGGGGGAGTAGCTGGGGGAGTAGCTGGAAGACGCCCGCCTCCCGGGAAGTCCCCGTCCTGTGGCCACTAGAGGGACGGTTCTGTGTGGTGAACCTGACAGCCCAGAAAGACCTGCGCACACACCGGGCTGGCGGGGTCACCCTGCCTGCAGTGCGGAGGGGCCACAGGTCTTGCCTGGAGTCAGACCCGACTCCCGGTGTACGACCCGAGGTACAGGGTGGGTGGCGCGGCTGCTGGATGCCCCCTTGGGAAGTCCTCAGCGGCTGGAGGAAGGGTCTCTACCACTGGGTGTTCCCGGTCGGGTAGGTCAGCCAGGGTCCCCACCCCCAGAGAGCCTGACCTCCGGGGGGGGGGGGGGGGGGGAGAGAATAAACAGCCACGGGACATCCTTGTGCAAACCGGGGCAATTGGTGCCAGGTGACCCCCTTGCCTTGCTGTGAGGAACTCCAAGGGAGCGAAGGCTGGGAGCACCTTCTAGCCATGGCTGTGGGTGCTCCCAGTCCCTGCACGGGGCCCTAGCAGGCTCCCACCCTGAGCCTGGTTCCTCTTGTACTTCTCCCATCAAGCTTTGGACCTCTCTCCGGAGAATGTGGGTAGGAGAGCGCTGGCTCATGTGCATGTGCAACGACGCGCCTGAGGTTGCAAACCTTTGCTTTACATGTAGCTCAGATAGAGGTTGGCTGCTATCCGGCTACCAGCTGCCATAGTTAGAGGCTGGGGACAGGAGGCTGCCCGTTGACAGAGGGGATGGTGGAGGGGATGGTCCAGGGCCATGAGCAGCGAGGAAACAGTGCTCAGGGCCGGCTGGGCTTCACACCAGCTCTGTGCTGCTGTGTGAGGGTGTCTAGGAGGGCACCAGCTCTGGCTCTTAGAGGTGCACCTCTCAGGGGGGTAGGGAATGTCCTTTCTAGAAATGGTCCTGATGCCAGGGAGGGAAGGGTGCGTGCGAGAAAGAAGCTGAGGGGTAGTCCAGGGCCTTTGAAGACATGGCAGGGTGTGCAGTGAGCGTGGCAGGGGCGTTGGGCCTCAGGAGGGAAATGATGGGAGGAGCCCCCAGTGTGCGCTGTGGGGCCCGCCTGCCTTCAGGAACGGGTTGGGGAGGGGAATGAGAACTGTCTGGCTAACGGGGATCAGAGAGAGGGGAGTCTGGGGGACACAGGGGTGCCCTCTGCTCTGGGGAGGACTGAGCTGGGAAAAGGTCTGGGGACTAGAGGTGCCTCTCCCCTAAGGGACCCGCACCCATTCATTGAGGCCACTGTCAAGACCAAGCCCAGAAGTCTCCTCCGATGTCTAAATTGAGAGGTCTGTGGAGCGGAGGGCGGGGTTATGAGGCCTGACTCTTCTCTCTCCTCTCACAGGTTACATTCCTTTTGGGACACCAATTGTAAGTATTACCTTCAAAGGATTTTTTTCCCCCCAAAGAATTTTTAATGTATAACTTTACCTCATTGCTCATAACTATTTGACTGAGTTGTTGATTTAGGCTAAAATCCTGGAAGTGAATAACTGGCTAATACAGCACACATCTCTTTTTTATTCTCTTGGTGGTACTGTCAAACGTCTTTCAGTTAGAAGGTGCACCAGTGTAACACAGAGCACTGTTTGGGCCTTCATCCCTGCACATCTCCCGTCCTGCGTATTATCATTAAGACATGCTCATTTGGTTACAGGGAAGTTCCCCCCAAATCTTGGGAAGTTGGAAAGTAAGGATGATTTCTGAAAACTAAGGTTTAACATTAACTCAGAAAGGATTCAGTCTTCATGTTGTTCAGTTTTAGATTCAGGGTTAAGTTTACTTTAAAAATTTTTTACATTAAAGTAAAACAAATATACAGAGAGGCACAGTCATCATAAAGGTAAACACAGCTTGAGAAGTTTTCAAAAAGTAAGCTCATCCAAGTAACATCACTTAGATAAAGATTCAGAGCAGCGGGCACCAACCTTTCGGACCTCATGGACCACCAGTGGTCTGCGGACCACCGGTTGGCGACCGCTGATTTAGAGCATCCGCAACATCTCAGAAACCTCTCCATCACTACGCCCACACCACAGGAAACCACCTTTCTGACTGTCTTCACTATATTCCCATTTGGCCTGCTATTGACCTTTACGGAAATGGAATCATCAGTATGTACTTTTGGGGGGCCTTTGTTTTCTTTTACTAAAAGTTGTTTGTGAGATGTGTCCATATTGCTATATGTGGTATTAGTTTATTTTTCATTGCTGCATAATATTCCATTGTTATAACAATATTGAAATTTCTTTATTTATCCTACTGTTGGTGAAAATTTGAGTTGTTTCCAATTTGGAGTTCACAACCAAACAGTGCTGCTTTGAATATGATTGTGCAAATCATATATATATATTCTCATTTATCTTTAGTTACACCTAAAAGGCTAAAGAGATAAGAACTAAATGCAGTGTGTGATCCTAGAATCAGGATTGGGGCACGGGTGTGTGTAAAATGGTATTACAGTCTCTTATAAAGTTAAACATGCACTTACAATGTGAGCCAACAATCCTAATTTTAGGTATTTACCTCAAGAGAAATGAATACACACGTTCACCCAGAGATCTATATGTGAATGTTTGTAGTAGCTTTCTTCATATTAGCCTAAAACTGGAAACAGACAAGAATGACCAACAAATGTTAAGACCACTGGGTGAAAACCTGATTGGAAACAGGATATTTACCTAGTCTCAAAGTTTCCTATATATTTCATATATATTATTCCTTCTGTGTTTAATAGTTGGTAACCTCCTGTAAATAAGAGATTTCCCTACTGCCTCCTTCTTAAAACTATCACTATGGTCTCGTGTATTTTTTGTATCCGGGGGGTAACAATTTACTTCTGCCATTATTCATTTTTATATACAAATGGTGCCAAATTTGACCAAAAGGAACTCTTTAAATAAGTTTCTCTGTTCATTTGACATACCTTTTTTATTTTTTTGATTTATTGTTATCAGTGTTACAGATGTCCCCATCCACAGCACCTCCCCACCCCCTGCCTTCTTATTCTTTGAGTACTTAAATACTTTATGGCACAAAATATGGCTATTCCAGACTCATCTTGTAGTTTCTGTGTCCCAGTCCTGGAATCATCCATTTCTCCAAAGAGCCCTGGTTCCTCTCAGAGGGTAATGGTTCTTAGAAACCAAGGTCTGGATTCTGGGTGTGCTCACTGTTACCAGGGTGCCGCTGTTGCTAGGCCATCTGAGCAGACAGCGTTAGGAGGTGCAACTTTTAAAAAATCGTGAGTTTATACTACTACCTCTAATTCCAATCCAGCATCTCAGAGTTCTTCCCCTCCTTCATTCCATAGTTACATCTCCCTACTCCCTGAATGAGAGTCCAACAGCAACATATTCTGATTCTCTTTTCTTTTGTAGGTACATGTAAATTAAAGACTTTCAGAATTGCTGTGTCAATACCACTCCCCAAAAATGTATTAAGGAAAGCCCAAGATTTCTTTGAAGTTCTTTATGTCCATTGACTATATCCTACTGAGAGTATATAATCAGAGAACCATGTTTATTTTATTTTATTTTTTAAAATATATTTTATTGATTTTTTTACAGAGAGGAAGGGAGAGGGATAGAGAGTTAGAAACATCAATGAGAGAGAAACATCGATCAGCTGCCTCCTGCACACTCCCTACTGGGGATGTGCCCGCAACCAAGGTACATGCCCTTGACTGGAATTGAACCTGGGACCCTTGAGTCTGCAGACTGACGCTCTATCCACTGAGCCAAACCGGTTAGGGCCAGAGAACCATGTTTAAAAGTTGTTTGAATTTTTTCTTCTGTTGTGTTTATGCTATTTATTTTGTATACCATTAAGTTTATTCATTTCTATTATTAAGTTTCAGTTTCCCATTCTTACTGATTTTTTTTGGAAATATATAAAATATCAACATGGTTCAAAAGTCAAAGCTATATCAAAACTCATAATAAAAGTTTCATTCCCCTCTCTATCCCTTCTACCTCCTTCCCACCCATCCTCTGGAAATAAATATTTTATTCTTCCCATTTCTTTTGTAAAATTAAGTAAATTTTCTCTAGTGTTTTTTTTCTTAATGACATCCTGGAAATCATGGTAAATCAGTTTATAGAGATCTTCCTCATTTTTTAAATAGCTGCATAGCTGTCTACGATGTAGAAGTACCATAATTTATCCAGCTAATTTTCTCTATGTGGATGTCTAGGTTATTTCCAATATTTTTCCAGTATGAATAATATGAGAATGGATAATCTTGTGCATTTTTTTTTGATATTGACAGTAAATTCCTGGCTTCTATGGAGGACTAATTAAATAGACATTTCTGGCAACAGTGAGCAAGAAAAAAAGAGAGAAGGTGCAAATAAACAATATTAGGAGTAAAAAGTACAATAACTATAGATAAAATAGAAGTTTAAAAGACCAGAATGCATTGAACAATCTGGAGCAATAAATTGGAAGATTTAGAAGAAATGGACACATTTCTAGGAAAGCTTAGCTTACCAACAGCTACCTAGCAGGTATAGTAAATGTCACAATTACTTAGGCATTTTGCATGTGTGTGTGTGTGTGTGTGTGTGTGTGTGTTTTCTTTGTTTGGCTAAAGTACTTCTGAGTAATATTCACTGTGTGTGGGCAATACACTTTGTGAATCCCTGCATATCTGGAAATGTCTTTTTCCCCCTCTTAAACACGAACAATAGTTGGCCTGATTTCTTTTCTTTTGTAGGTAAACATTTCCCCTCCCCTGGGGATCCTTTGGTTTTTTTTCTCTTTATCTTTGGAGTCCAGAAATAGCCTCAGGATTTAAAAGTTTTTTCTCTGTATATTTTATAAAATTATACAAGTAATACATGAATATGTTCTTGGAATTCAAAATTACCACCAAGAATTTTTTAAGACTATTTTAAAAGTTATGCAAGTAATACATGAATATGTTCTCTCAGCTCAGAATTCAAACAATACAAAAAGAACTAGAAGTTCCTCTGACAACCCTCAACCCCAAATCTGCTCTTAGAAGTAAACTCTCTTAGAAGTTGGTCATGGACTTTTGAGCTTTTTTCCTATGTATTTGCATACTAGTGGCCTGGTGCACGAAATTCGTGCATGGGGGTGGGGAGTGTCCCTGAGCCCAGCCTGCACCCTCTCCAATCTGGGACCCCTCGGGGGATGTCCAACATCCCTCTCACAATCCAGGACCACTGGCTCCTAACTGCTCACCTGCCTGCCTGCCTGATCACCCCTAACCACTCTGCCTGCCAGCCTGCTTGCCCCCAACTGCCCCCCTGATGGTCTGATCACCCCCAACTACCCTCCCCTCCTGGCCTGATCGCCCCCAACAGCCTCTGCCTCGGCCCCATCACCATGGCTTTGTCCAGAAGGACATCTGGAAGGTCTCCTGGAAAGTTTCCCAGTCTAATTAGTATATTATCCTTTTATTAGTACAGATATATGAATCATCATTTAAACTATTATTTTTGTTTTGCATTTTTTCTATTAAAATATAACAGTATTCTTATTTATCTACAATTAGCTGATTACATGTAGCTGTTTACTTACTTGAAGGTCTGCTTCATTCATTCATTTGTTGTTTTTCCAGCTGAGTAGTATTCTCTCCCCTAGTGATAGATTTAAGTTGTTTCTTATTATTTGCTAATTAGAAATAACAGTGTTGGGGAAAATCCTTGTAAAGCTCTTTTGCATAAGTATGATGATTTCTCAAGGGCATTCTAGAAAGTGAATTTTCAGTGTAAATGGCTGTGTGTGCACATTTGAATTTTTGATAACTATTGCCATTTTCAGTGTAAATGGCTGTGTGTGCACATTTGAAGTTTTGACAACTATTGCCAATTTCCCTTCAGAGAGGTTAGATTTCATCAAACCTTTGTAACACGGGTATTCGTATATTTAGTGTTTTCTTTCTTTTTTTTTTTGCCAGTCTGATGGGAGAAAGGTATCATCTCATTATGGTTTTAATTGTTTTATTTCCCTGAACACTAAAAAAGGATTCTGCTTCTTTTCAATATTTATTGCCATTTATATTTCATTTTCTCTGAATTTCCTGTTCACATCCTTTGCCCATTCTTCCACTGGCTGTATTTTCCTAATTATTTGTAAAAGTTATTTTTATATTTTTTATATTAATCCCTATATATTGCGAATCTCTTCTCCCAGCTCTTTCCCCTTTACTGTCTGGTGTCTTTGTTGTAGAAAGTTTTGAATGTTGATGTTTTTAATGATTTTTTTTTCCTTGGCTTGATTTCAAGTCTTGTCTCTACTTCTCACCTCCATCTCTTTTATTACAATAACTGGATTGGTGAGACTTGTGCCTAGGAATTAGCTCTTGGATGCATTTATCAATTCTTCTGTTTTTGTTTTATAGT